CCACTCTGCCACTGTATAATTCTGAGATCCCAAATCAAGTTACTGAACCTCTCTCTCCCTTGTGAAAATGGTATCATAATGGTATCCAGCTTGGTAAAATTTAAGACAGACAATATTTTCAAACTGCGGCACCACAAGGGCTGGCACAAACCCAGCTTGCAAAAGGCAGTGATGATGATGTCAATGATGCTTTCAAAGACCATACACAGCACTGACTGTATGCCAGGCTCTGGTCTCAACACTGGACATTCCTCACCTCCTCTGCTATTTACAACAGTCCTCTGAGAAATGTCCTGCTATTACGAATGGGAAATGGCAGCACAAAAAGTTTGACAAATTTGTCAAACACCACACACTAAGTGGCAGAACCAAGAATTGACCTCAGGACATCTGTCCGCAGTATCTGAGACTTCCATCACTACAGTCCTGGGAAGGGTCTCTTGTGACTTCCTGCTGTCTACACTGAGTCTGCTTACTTATGTGTCAGATGCTGCTGTAAGTGCTTAACATGCCGGCACAGTACCCCAGCACTCTAGAAGCTGAGGCAGAAGGATCACCTTGAGTTCTAAGTAAGCCTGGGCTACATAGCAAGTTCAAGGTCTGCCTCAACTACATAGTTAGACCCTGTCTCTAAATAAATGAATTAATGAATGCACGCATGCATTCTTAGCATAAATCAACTCACTGAAACCTCACACTAGCCCATGACTCATTTCACCATTACATTTGTGTTAAATGCTTATATTAACCCAAGGGGACCAAGGAAAGATGAAGACAATGCAAGAAGACAGCTATCTGCTTACAGTACAAGGAAAGTGAGCTAGAAGCTTAACATTCACAGAAAACATCACTGATGCCTCAGATGGGTGGGGAAATTATTACTCATGATACAGAATGGGCAATGAACATAATGATCCATTTTGCTAACTCCCTAATTTTCTTGAAAACCCAGATCTTTATAGTTATTGATATAGTAATAGGTAACAATGTAGTGGGGTTGAGCTTTGACACCAAATATCTGTTTTTCCCTGAAAAGCTGTGTGTCTATCAGTGAGTCATTCAACTTCTCTGGGTTTTCTTTCAGTACCATTGACTCAGTAGTACCTAAAGTGTACAGTTGTTTTACAATTTAACTAGAGAACTGAAGTGTTTTATATTATAGGTGGCACAAATGACACACAATAAATGTTATTTCCTTCCTTTAGCACAGTGTGTGATAAACTATAGTTCATTTGATTTTGCTATGCTGTGGCATAAGTGAAAGCCATGCTCTTCAATGTGGAGAAAAACTTTAAAAAGTTTAACCTTTCTCATTCACTAGAAATGAACAGCAAAATATTCTGCTACGAGCAGAGGAAAGCAAAATAATTTTTTCTGTACTTACCTCCAAGGCAAAACAATAAACCAAATAAAAATAAAAAGAATAAAACAAAACTTTTGTTCTATGTGCACAATGGCAATACGGGAAGGGCTTTTTTAGCATACACCCCTAAGGGTGACATGGAAATGCAAATCTGACAACAAATAAGATGCTAGATACTCAATTGTGGATAATTTGCCAGGCCCTCAGAAACTTTCAGATGACATCATTTTCTTGGTTCACTTCTATCCAGGGTTTGATTATAGTGTAAGCTTTCCCAAATCCCAATTTGTGAAATGATTCCAGCATATAAAACACTGCTTCTATGGATGTTTTTAAAGCTCCGAGTAAAATGCTTAGCTCCTACTTTTTTATCCTTTGCGCTTTTATCTTGCATTCTGCAGTATAACTGATTAATACTTCATTCTTTTTGCAAGGTCTTCATTGTCAGTAAATTATTATTTGTGCCACAGAATTATAATTCTAAAAGAATATGTTTTATGCTGAGATTGATGGAAATATGCTTTTGACTTGTAGGGTAAGACCAATTTTCTAACACTTCAGTTCTATTTCCTCAAATGCATTACTGCTATAAAGCACCAATTATGGTTAATAATGACATTATTCGCACCTCAGTAAGTACTTGGTTTGGTAAAGCTTTAAGGACGTTTGACTTCAGCAATCAATTTCGTTAACTACAGGAAATGGTTGATTTCATATAGATTATTACTTTAATGTTGTATCGCTCCCCAAGCTCACATATACTCAGAGCTAAGTGGCTCTCCATATACATTTACATATACTTCTTTGAAGTGTGCCCCAGCAAAAACGCATTCTAGGAGCCATATTTGTATATTGTCGGTTATCAAGGTGTGAGGTCCTATTTTTCACCTCTTTACTTCTAAAATTTGGGACTATAAATGATGCTAGTCTGCACAAAATTCCCCCCCAAAAAAAGGATGATAAAGGATTAGTCTTAAGCAGAGGGTTGAAGGGACACAGAATCCCAGTTGAATTCCAGAAAGTAACAAATTTGTTTTTACTTTTTGGACCCCACCTTCCAGTTGTCTGACCAGCCAAAACCTGGAAATCTCTCAAAATGTTTTCTCATCCCTCTATTCCTATATTCAACAACTAGAGCTGTACTCAAAGCATCAATTTCATCTTTTAAATGTCTTTTGAATCATCCCTCTCTATGTTACTATCCAAGCTTTACCTTCTTCTCTTTTATATTACAATACTAAAGCTCTTCTACTCTATAAGTCTTCAAAGTTCAAATTAAGAACAGTATAGAGCATGTACAATGACAGGAGGTAATTGTGACTCCTTGGACTTAAGACCAGATGTACTCAGGGCACCCTTTACAACTCTGAGGTGCAAGACCTTTCTTCATTCCAGGGCCTCGGTGTAGCCAGGCTTTCTGGGCTGTAAAGCTGATCATGTCTCTTTTCTCTGCTTAAACACATCTCTCAATTCTGCTTGTCCACAAAGTGTAAGTTCAAAAGGAATTTATTCACAAGATAGCTATGATAATTGTACTACTAATTTCTATTAGTTCACTCAAAGGAACAGTTAGGGCCGGTATGGTTTGATCAATTTTGCATACCTATATCTTGTAATCCAGGAAACTACTTTGAAGGTAATAATATGCAATATAACAACTATTGTTATTTTCCTATCATCTCATTTTGAAATTCTGTATCATTTTTGTTGTTTTTTTCTCTCTTAAAAAAAAGGTATTTACTAATTTCAAATAAGAAACAGAATCTACTGTGCTCCACAGCACTATTACCTTGGACTCCAAACATCTCCATGGAAATTGGCCAATATAAGAAGGAGGTGTGATCAAAGTATATGGTAAATGTTTAAATATTAAAAATTACAGTCAAATACATTGTAATATTGTCCTTCAAAATATTCCTCCTCACTTTGAACATATTTATCCCATTGCTCAGGCCACATTTTGAAGCAGTTGTAGAAGCCCTCATTCATGAATGTCTTAAAGGGGTGAGATAAAGAATATGGTGAATGCTGCTGCTGAGTGCCATTCAACGGATAGGCAGGCTTGTGAAACCGTCGGGGTCATCCTCATCCGCGTATACACTAAATCTAGCACTGTGCAACTTCTAGCTCTTTCCCAAAGACAAAATGGCCACAGAAGGTAAACATTTGAATAGATTCAGGACACTGCGTCAGCAGTGATGTTGTAGTGTCATTATCAAAGACACTAACAAGGACCTCTATAGCTACGTCAGAAAGTGTGAAGAATACAGCATCAATGTGTTCAAAAAGAGGGGAACAATTCTGAGGTGAACTAATGTCAATTTGTCTTTTACTATTATAAACTAAAAGATTGAAATTTTTTCAACCATAACTCATAATCCTCCAGAGGTGATACTGAAGTACAGAATCTTTTCCATATAGTTTGAACTAAATGAACTTTCACCCCCAGATAAAAATCTGTAACATAAATAAGGGATGAAGACACACAAAGCAACCATGCAGCCCTCCCTCCTCTCAAGTTCCACCTCTCTGGGAAACACATGGAAAAATTGTTATCTGGAGTGCTAACGGCAATACAATGCACTTAAGTGTAGACCCAGGAGCACCAGCAGGAGTCTCTCCATGTAAGGAAAACAGAGAAGTCCATGCTCAAAAAAACTGCCTGGCCAAAGGCAAAGAAGTATGATCATGTACAAGGTGTCAAGCATAAAAATGACCATAAAATTAAGAAAAATAAATGCCTATTATCGTACATGGGATTTTCACATGAAACTCCTATTGTTCACGAAAGGCAACCATAACAAAATTATCAAATAAGAGTGGTTCCTCTTACCAGTCCAATTATTAACTTTTGACATCAGGACAAGGGATCGTTTCTCAGGGCCACTGTCTGTCTCCTCCCTAATAAGTTCAATTATTTATATTGCTCACATTGACTACAGTCACTAAGTAAAAAACTTCATAGTAATGACAAATTATTTTTCCACAATAAACTTTTCATTTGAACTTCAACAAGTAAATGCTCAGTCTGCACAAGGACCTTAGGCACCAACGGTAAGAATTTATTTAAGGAAAAATAAACAAATTCCTGAACAATGAAATGATTTCTCTCATTTCCATCTTATCCATGTAGTGGCGAAAATGTTCCTCCAGAAGCGGAGAAGATTCTCAAATAATCATACCGTTGTGCAAGGACGTGTAACTAGAGAGCTAAAATTCTTAAAAGATGCTCAAAGTTTAATTGTGCTTATATTTTCCAGCCCACACTTCACAAAACCCTTTATAATCACTCCCAAAATTGGGTAAAATTCAGTACTTGGAATTTGTTCTATATTTATTCCTGCATAATCCACTCAAAGTCCTTGCAAGCCACAGGATAGATAATGCAGCCCCCCAAATAGAGGAAAGAATGTAGAAGGACCCAAAGAACAGAAATGCCTCTAAATTGGATTACTAGCCTCAGACGAATTAATATTAGATAGAAGTTCACATCCACATCCAATGTGAATAGAAATTCTTTCGAACTCCAACACCAGGTTACAGTATATTTTGAATCCTGCCACCATCACTGTTCATCTTGCTTTATGCTTCCCCTCCCCTCAAGGGCTACAAAACAAACAAATGTGGTTCTACTTACAATTGTGAAGTTCATGACTTTAAGAATCCAGATGGTCATGGCCAAGTTCACCAATATTAAAATCATGAGGAGTAGGACAAAGAAATACAGGCATCGTTTCCGCCAGCCGTAAATCCCCACTTTGTATACCTGTGGCCCTTCGGAGCTGGGCATGGTGCTCCTGTGGTGTGTGTACTGCTCCTGAGGCATCTGAAACAAACAAGGTGAGAGAAAAGCACTGACATTAAACCAGAGAGAGAGAGAGAGAGAGAGAGAGAGCGAGGGAAGGAGGGAGGGAGAGAGAGGGAGAGGGAGACAGAGACAGAGACAGAGAGAGACAGGAACAAATCAGCTGATGAGAGATAAGGCTGGCTCTCACAATTCTAAAACTGTCCTCTATAGACAAAACTGGCTCCTTGGGGTGCTTGCTTTAGTCCTCCTATTTCACACAGCCCTCTTTCCTCCTGTATCTGAGGCACCTACATCAGCACATACGCCACAAGGAAAGGGGCTCTGAGGTAGGCATTCTCCACCTGATTCAGAATTCCAACTTGGTTTCTTTCCAGAAACTTATAAAAGACCTAAAAGCAAAACTTGGAATTAACCTGAGAAAATAAATTAACCCTGGAACTTCATCCTTTTAGTATAAAGATACTATTTGGGGAATTTATTAGGAGAGAACTAAATATAAATTTCAAATGCAATCATCTGGTATTGCCATACGGTTGGTAGTAAAGGTAACCATTGGACCCTTTCCTCCTGTTTAGAGTTCAAAAGGAATCTGGTGGACCCATAGCTGAGCTTCATTTGACCTGGAATCTTCAGCAAAAGACAGTGTACTAAACATCCCACTACCCTCCATGTACATCCTTGTGAGTGAGGCAAGTCTGACTGCTGTCAATTTACTTATTTAGTGAATGGAAAGAAGGGTCAAAGTCAAGTAAAATGTGCACATGCCTTGGAGGAGCTTATAGGCTGACAGGAAAAGGAAGTAGTTAAACACTGATCACAGCAGAGTGAGATAGGTCATAAACAGATCTGTCAACCTCAAGTCATGTATCAATCCCCTTGAAAGTCAAAAAACTTTCCTAAATCCCTGCTCTTGACAAAAATAACCCCTATACTAGCATTACTAATTAACCTCCAACACAGATGCACATAATCTTTCCTTCTTTCATTTTCTCAAGTCAAAACACATTTTAAAAAGCTAGGTACAAACAAATCTATACAATGCCCATCACATGACCTTGCAAACAAACAAGTGCCATGAAGTAGGATTTGCTGAAACTGAGTTGCACGACTGTGATACCCAGGACTTTGGCACACTGGGTTCAGACCATAGCATCCATCCCTACTGCGCCTTGAGCTGTGCGACATGGCCTCTACAGCTTGTCTCGTCCAGATTACTGCACACCCTTGCTGTTAGCATTTTCACTTCATTTGGCCCTGATGGAGGCACACTGTCTCTATTCTCCTCAAAGCCGATGGCAATTAATTTAGTGGTGTCCAAATGACCAAAATGACAAACCAAAATGCAGGTCCCAAAATCATAACCTTGGCTATTAGGTCATCATCCAGATGGTTTAGAACATTATTTTAGAGAATCATCAAAATGGACACATAAAATCTAATCCTGTCCCATAGAACTCATGGCCACCAGGCATACTTGTCATCTGCCTCATTCCAAATCATACTTTAATGCTGAAATTTGAAAGCAGTACCCACAGATATTTATAGAATGGATGAAAACATAATTGTAAAATTATGAGCAAATGAAGGAGTTTCCATTCACTGCAATCTGGGAGTATTCAGCAGTCCAAATCCAACACCACCAGGAGGTTCTTGTCGCTATTCTTGCAAATTTCCATTTCAGGCTCCATAAACACCAGTTCCCGGATAGGAAGCTTTATGCTTTAAGATGATCTCAATTCATTACTCAGCTCCTCAAACTTCTGTAGATAAGGAATGTTAGAAGAAGATGAGAACACAAGAGTCATCCTTCACTGGCCTTTTTATACACCAGAATCAGTCAGCATTAGAAAGTATCTTCTAAGCTCAAAGGAAATTGTACTTTTATCTTCCATTAAATCATATTCTAAATAAAAAATGGGAAGTAGAAAGATAGATCTTGCTCAGATGGGAAAAGCGTAAAAAATGGAATTGAGCTATATTATGTCCGTGTACCAACTTCACACAAGGAATATACACCTGATTACTTCAAACATGTACTAATATATACAAATACATGAAAATAATCACAGGATCTTTTACTGTTACCTGCAAGGTCCTTTGGTTTCAGTGTCCCAATTTATGGAAGAGATGAACTAAGATTAGAGAGTGAACCCACTGGTGCCTGGCTAAGGGGATTATGACAGAGCAAGGGCATGAATGACACCCTGTCTCTTGCAGGCATGATAAACAGTGAGAAACCACACACATGGATATAGGGAACCTCGTGATTCTGCCCCCAGGCCTTTTCTCTGTCACTTGCTTCAACCAATAGTATCATTACATAAGTTAGATACACAGAGTCATTTACTGAAATGATATGTTCAGTAAGTATAAGAGGGTGGGGATCTGCATACCATGGCTGTGATTACTTTTTCATTCAAGGACTTTTAGAACTGAACAGGATGCAGTAATCAGTTCAATAGGGATTCTCAGTCCTACATGTACATCATGTTCACTTTACAGCTGTTGAAAACTTTCACACTCGCATTAACAATCACAAGTAGAACACCCAGAAATCACTAGTTATAAAAGCTCCCCAGGTAATGCTAAGGGTAGACTTGAATTGCGTTGGTCTACAACAATGACATGGAGCCTTGACTGTGCATTCAAATCCAAAAGAAGCTTAGCGCATAAACTTCTGATGTCTACCAGTAGAATCTAGGGTATGAAAAAAGTCGTCCAGCTGACTCTAAGCCTTTGAGAGAACATCTAAAATATGGCTTTCATTTTTTTGCATAGGATAAGCATTGTAAGACAAAAATCTTGTGAAAAATTTTATATGTAAAACAGGAGAAGAAAAATACCAGAAATAAGGGTCTGGCTACATTTGAGGCATTTCTGCAGAATCCTTGGGCTTCTAAGAAGCACTGATTGTCTCCATTGCCGTTACTGACTAGCTGAGGTAATGAAGGCCAGGAAGTAGTAGGTCCCTTTTAAGTCACATGGAGAATTAGAAACCGAGCAGGGGTTAGAATTCAGAGCTTTTGTTGTATGGTGTAGCGGCCCATTCATATTTCATGAAGCTCTTGCCCCCTCACTGATTTGGTGAAACTAAACAAATGAGGCACATGAAACAAAATACTCCATTTGCCAACTTGTAAAATAAATAAAGAACAGGAGTGAGCAATTTTCTGCAACTGGTTATAAGACAAGGCCTTGCCAGGCAAAGACAAAGTAATGAATACATCTGTTATCAATAATCGTACACAAAAAGAGAAAATTTAGATATGCTGAGATCATTAATTTTCCTACTAAAAAATCAAAATATGTTGAAATATTAAAGACAAAAAGGAGAAAGACAACGTCTATGCTGTATTTTTTCTTGTTCCTTTCTGGGAGAAATTTATTGCCCCGGAAAGGAAGCTGAAGTCGCACATCTTTCCTTGGACAGGCCTCTCTCAAGTTCTTGGAATGGGCCCCAGTCATGCATGTACATATTCCACATTTCTCTGCAACTGGAAAAAATAAGCTGGTTTAATTTCAACTAGTTAAACCCTGATTTTTCTCACCGGGTTCACAGGTAGTTTGGAGCCCCATGAAGAGGATATTCAATCAGGGCTTCATATGGTTTAAGAGCTATGGAATATATTAATTGGGTTGCAGTCACTTTCCTGAAGAGGGACATTATTGCCAGTGCTGCTGGTATAGTTGCATCTCCCAGGAATACTACTTCCATCTAGAACACAAAACCCCCAAGCATGATGACAGAAAGGTACCAGACCAAAAGGACACCCTGCAGGGTGAATGTGAGAGTGGCCAGCACCGGAAATGCCATGGTACTGGTAGAGGGAATGGGAACAGGAAATTTTCAGATGTGTGAAATTTTCAGATGTGTGAAATTTTCAGATGTGTAAAATTTTAATCGTAGAATTCAATTTTTATTGATGTCTACTCCAAACAGAAATTCTCTTCTGTCAAGACGCTCCAATTCATTATATATAATTATGAACGCTCCACACATTTTTCTTTTTTGTAGAAATCACAGAAAACAGAATCAGAACACTTGTGTTTGTAGATTTGGTACAGCAGGTGTTTCGCTATGTAACGCTGCAAACTTTATGTATCATAATCATCACTAATTAAAAATTTTCTGTCAAAACTGCCATAGGAGATAATTATGTTTCTATTAACTATTTGCCACTGTCACTCTCTGCATAGATGTCACTTGAAGAGGTAGGCAAGGGCTCTGCACCTAAAATCTGTAGAAATATGCAAGATGGTTAATTATTAACAATATTATTCTAAATTTTGTGATGTTACCTTTTAAAAATTAATACTTTAATTTCATTTCTCATTCTAAATACCTAGTTATAGTTTGAGCTGAAGTTTTTCACTGCTAATCTTTAAACTTTTTTTCTTACAGCAGCCACCCAAGTTATTCAAACTTCTAGCCTCACAAATCCCAGATCCTGTTAGTCCGCCCATCAAGTATCCTAAGCATATACCAAGAGCTCTGAGCAACATCACCACAGATACTGCTGCCAAGAGGGACTCAGGGGGATGTAAAATTGTCTCTGTTACAGTGGGAGCGATTTTTCAGAACTTAGGATGCATACGAATCACTCTGGGTCTGAGTCCTCTATCTCACACCAAGAGTTCTAATTCAGTAAGGCTGAGGGGTGCCTCAGGAACATGTAGTTGTAACAAATATCAAACTTGATACTGACGCAGGTACCTCAGGGAACATCTTTGAAATCACAGATTTAGCCCAATGTAGAGATGAACCCCAGCCCCATCTTTACCCCTTTGGTGATTTTTGCTTGGATCATCCCTCTTCCTCTTCTCTCCCTATACAAACACCTTTTTCGTCCTTCATACTTTTGCTGTATTCTATCCCGGGGTTTTCATTGCCATCACCTTCAACCAGCAGCTTATTTGTTTTTTACATTAAGTTTTAGAGGAGCATAGGTATTGTTTTGCCCTCTTGAGTTGAATAATTGTTTTTTAAAATCCTTGCTAACAACTTCACTGAGCCCGTT